TTCTCATTTCCTTGCTAGATGTGCCTCAGAAGTTTGGGATATGCAATGGAAAAAAAGAGTGTCTCTCAAAGGCTGGTTGGAATCACATAGAAGAATGTGGTCCTTTACAGGGTTTTAAGGTGACAGTCTGCTGCATATCTACCTGGGGGTGGTGAAGTTTACTTCTAAGTAAACATGGACTGGGTTGCACCATCTCAATCTCACTAAATTTTGACTATTCGTCTGAAGTGTGCTTGGACACACAAAAACATGAACAATGAAATCTAGTTGAGTCTTAAAGATGTGCTACAAGGCTCCTTGTTTCTCTTGTGCTGCAACAGATTAACAAAGCTCTTGGCTGGACTAAATTTGTCCAACATTGTACTTGCAAGTAAGCAAGCACAGGATGGGACTGCAAAACTATGTACACATATATGTAGGGGACATTCAATGCTATGCCTGTATGTCCAGAAGTATCATGAGACTGTTCCCAAGCAAACAAGAGATTTGCAGCCTCAGATCCTGATTCTGTTCACAACGTTCAGTTGATATTTACTTCCAAACAAGCATTTACCTCAGCACAGTACTGTTGTTACATGGGCTTGCGATTCACAGAAGCCTCTTAATGTTGGAACTTTTCTGCAGCACAAAACTGTGCCCCTTGTTTAAAAGCTGCGGTTTTATGAGCAGGACAATAAAAAGCAGAAATCATTTATTGCACACCTCATAGGGTAACTGATTTGTGTAACTGGCCTTGTTTATAGCCAGGATGTACGGGCTAAGTGGCCTGTTGAAAGGTGATGGCTAGTATTAATAAAACCACTGCCATTTTCTGCATCTCATTGCATTCTATCCTATCCCATAACCAAAGCCAGCATACAGATAAGCCTGTGGTATGGATATTCTGTGCATGTGAACCTGTCGCTTGGATGCTGTGCTCTATGCATCTGAAGAAGTAGACACAAGAGCTCATGCCAAATAAAATGTGCTGGTCTTAAAGGCAAAAAGCAAAATGTGCTGCTTCTATAATGCCCTATAGAGCTTAAAGCTCTCTCTGGTTTACAATTTAATTATGCAGGCTAAACATTGAACACACACACCTGTGAGCTAGGTACTCAATTTACTGACCTCAGAAGGCACCACAAGACTCGTTGAATAGATTAACATTGCTGCCTTCTTATAGAATCATAATTTATTTTGAAGTATGCTTCATGGAGACTTTATGTTGAGTAAACATACACATGACAGAGTGCTGTATTTTATCATATGATTTTGAGCAACAGTTCAGCATTGAGAATTAAAACAGTAATTACAGGAGTTCGGTAGCCATGCAGAAAAGGTGTAGGATTTAGTATTACAGTGGTGCCTCGCTTGACGATGTTAATTCGTTCCAGTGAAATCGCTGTAGAGTGAAAACAACAGATCAAGTAAAAAAGCCCATTGAAACGCATTAAAACCCGGTTAATGCGTTCCAATGGGCTGAAAACTCACCGTCCAGTGAAGATCCTCCATAGGGGCAGCCATTTCGAAACCCGACGATCAGCTGTTTTTGATCGTTGGAAAGCGAAAATCGGTTCCCGAAGCAGGGAACCGATCATCACTAAGCGAAATTCCCCCATTTAGACCATCATTTTGCGATCGCAAAAACCTCATCGTAAAGTGATTTCCTCGTTAAGAGAGCCAATCATTAAGCAGGGCATGACTGTATTCTGTTTTGGCAATGAATTGTGGGCTGCTTCTTAAGTTATACAATTCTAATATATGTAGATATACCTGGACATCATCACAAGGAATGATTGAACACTTCTGTATTTATTCCATATGTGTATTGTGTTTTATCTACCCTGTTTTCCCGAAAATAAGCCTAACCAAAAATAAGCCTTAGTATGATTTTTCAGGATGCTCGTAATATAAGCCATACCCCCAAAATAAGCTCCAGTGAAGTAAAACCCCACCTTCCACCATTGTGCAGCAACCAGAAGAAGATGACACAACTGTATTTGAATCAATGTAGATTATTGTACATGAAAAAAATCTCCTGGAAATAAGCCCTAATGTGTTTTTTGGAGCAAAAATTAATATAAGACCCTGTCTTATTTTCAGGGAAACACGGTAGTTATCTTAAAAATGTATTTCCCATCTTCTATGAAAATATATCCTAATATTGTGGGTCTTGATAATGTTTAGAGACATTAAAAAACAATGACAGCCACGCACAAAATTCTCCTTCATGTTCCTTCATGTAAACTTACATATCTTAGCATTTATAACTTTGAAAGAGCCCACTGGCTGAAATTACAAACAGATTTGAATGAGAGTCAGGTCTGCAAAAAGCACTGACGTTTCTTCAACATAAATATATTTGGAATCAGGGCATTGGAAATAAGAAATAATAACATTTTTCTTTTCAAGGAGAAAAATTGATCAAATGTGTAATCCCACCACCCCACCTTTTTCATCCACACTTCTAATTCCTCTGCTTATCTAAAATACTTATATTTTTATTAATACTATGGTGCAATTAACATAGCATAACCCTTGGTTTCAGGAGTGTGAGGTAGTAGTTATGTAGGAGACACAAGATTTTTTTAAAAACTGATTATATAAATAAAAACAATTTTTAATTGAAAATAACTTAAAATATTATGATAGTATGTGATATTTATAATATAAATATAATTTAATATTGGAATTAAATTAATGAATACAAACAGCAAGACTAGCTTTTGTATGGTTAACAATCTAGTTCTGCTTCAGAGTCATGGTCCAGCTCATCATCACCTTCTTCACTTTCTGAATCTTCATAAAATGAAATTGTAGCCTGAACAGGAAAGTTTCTCAGAAGTGCTTCTGCTTCATTAAACAAGTAATCAAAGCACCTTGATTTGGGCCAAAATAACCTTTAAAAAAACACATATTATTATTTACTACATTTATATCTCACTTTTCCACTACAAAGTAGTGCTCAAGGCAACTTTTATTTTAAAAAAATTAAATCAATTACAGTTCATCTATCCATAAAATCATTAAAATAAAATCAACATTATCATAAAAATCATTATAACCAACATATACACACAGTATAAAATACTGTAGTACCGTAAATTATTATTGATTATATGAATTGGATATTATGCAGCAATTTCATAAGAGGTGTTTTTACACCATGTTGGAAATCTGGTAGCAAGTTACAACTAGAGGAGGTTAAGTGAGGATTTAGTGAATCAACTCTGTAAATTCTGTTGATTCAGTGGGCGTACTCAGGTTGAGGCTTACTTCTGGATTTCATATGTGTAACACATATAATTAATATGTGTTAATTGACAGGATGTTTACTGACCGGATGTTCCCATCACCATGGTTTTGTGAATGGTCAGTGTTAATAATGGAATTGTCACTGCATTTAATTTCCCACTGATTTCCTTGTTGTCAGTCACCCGCTCCATTGTACGTACTGTGTACACTGTATATCTGAAATTCTTTGTCTATCCAATGAAATGAGTTATAGTCCATGAAAGCTTTAAATTTGTTAGACTTGAAAGTGCCACATGAATCTTGTCAGGAGCATTTATGGGGAGAAATTCACATTGTGAGAGGAATTCCTAAATTATTTTCTCTAGAAATGGCCTAACACCACTTACTGTTTCAAGGAAACACGGTTAGAAACCCAACAATTTGTAGTGTCACCATTATATTAAATCTACCTTAACATCAAATGTAATACAAGCGCAAAACAGAAGTTAAATAACAAATTAATCCACACATATCCAAACTTAATAGCATCATCTCACACCTAAAGTTTCTTCACATGGGTTGATTTAAGCAATAGTTAAAACTTTCATAGTTCAGAGACGTCTGTAATACATGGACCTAAGTGCAAGCTTGGAGCACTTTCTGAGAGAACAGTGATTTCCAACCTTGGGTGTTTTTGGAGGGCGACTCCCAGAAACCCCAGCAAGCACAGCTAGTGATGAAGGCCCCTGGGAATTGTAGTCCAAGAACATCTGGGTTATCTAAGGTTGGGAACCACTGTGATAGAAAATGCACAACATAGCCTTCTGTTTTCCACACCTAGATCTGATAATTTGATGTAAGGCAGGCAGATGTGGTGATAACCAATGAACAGGCCTGAAGGAGTGGGCACCCCGTGCACTTTGTGTGGACGTGCCCTGGGTGGCCTATAGTCATTCACTTTAGCTGGTGCTATTATTAGTGGTACTATAATTCTTAGGATTATAGGTTGTTCTTCCATAGATTGGCCACATTGAGTATACATACCTGACCACAAAGAGACACAGTTATATACTGTATCACAGATAGTATTGTCGAGACAAGAGTCTCACACCAATGACAGCTGCAGAACCAGCCCAAGTTATTTTAGTGTTGAACATGGAGTAGCAAAGAGTTCCTTTTGCTTCAAGTCAAGATGGACAGTACCCAGGAACTGGTCAAGTTATTTGGGCATCTGTGGCAGATAATGTCATAAGTACCACTCCTCTTCTTTAGCAGTAAAAATATAGCAGTATATCTGAAATATCTAATATTTTGCTGCCTTTTTATGAAACCACACATCAGCTGCCACACTCTTACTTTACCTATAGGTGGTGCTGGGCCCAGCTCAGTGAGAGAGACCTATATTATAACTTTTTCAGTCTTTGCAGTGTATGAGAAAGATAATTCAGGACTGGCCCGACCATTAGGTAGAGTGAGATAGAAGCTGATTTTGAGGTTCATGAAAGAGAGAAAAAAAAACTCTTAACATAGTCAGGCTGGTATCCTCATAAATATTTTTTATGCACATGTCATTCAAACTTCTAAAGCGAGCTGATTTTGAGGTACACAAAAGAGAGAGAAAAACTCTTAAGATAGTCAGGCTGGTATCCTCATCAATATTTATTATGCACATGTCATTCAAACTTCTAAAGCTGAGGCAGCAATTTAATCCTATTCACATGCATTCATGTGCTTTATTTCATGGCTGGGTGACACAATCAAGGACACAGCTATCATCCTGCTGGGCAGCTCAGTGGCTTAAGTATCTGGCTTGTGGAGCCAGAGCCTGGGAGTTCAATTCCCCACTGTGCTTCCTCGAGGGGGGCTGGAGTTGATGATCCATAGGGTCCCTTCCAACTCTGCAGTTCTAAGATGATTAAAGGTTATGCCATCAGATTGCCATGAGAGTTTTTGCAATAGGTTTTCCATGCATGTAAATAATGCATTATTGCTGTATTTCTACTACCAGAATTAGGGTATTTCTATTTCAGGTGCCAAAATATTTTCACCAACCTTGGGTACAACATGACTTAGGAGTAGGGAAAGCCACGAATTTATTAGCCTCTAACAGAAAACAGTATTGGACTAGCTTTGATCAAAGACATAAGGAAATAGCACTGAAAATGATATGACATAGCATCTGGAAATCATGGAAGGAAATAAACATTAGAAGTTTGTCAGCCATTGAGCCTCTCTCAGGCTTTAGATAACAGAAAAACTTGGAAATCCTATTGAATGGCTTATAAACACAAGGTTATGCCATCAGATTGCCATGAGAGTTTTTGCAATAGGTTTTCCATGCATGTAAATAATGAACCAAATACCAGCCTCAATGCATTATTGCTGTATTTCTACTACCAGAATTAGGGTATTTCTATTTCAGGTGCCAAAATATTTTCACCAACCTTGGGAGTAGGGAAAGCCATGAATTTATTAGCCTCTAATGGAAAACAGTATTGGACTAGCTTTGATCAAAGACATAAGGAAATAGCACTGAAAATGATATGACATAGCATCTGGAAATCATGGAAGGAAATAAACATTAGAAGAAAGTTTGTCAGCCATTGAGCCTCTCTCAGGCTTTAGATAACAGAAAAACTTGGAAATCCTATTGAATGGCTTATAAACACAGAAAAAGTCCTTTTTGTTGGATTTTGATCCCCCAAATCCAGCCTAGGGATAAATTTTATATGATCATGAAATGTTATTCCCAATAGAGATGTAGTATCTGGTTTCACCACCTCTTCTGTTAGGTTTCCAGTACCTTTAACTAACTTCCTGAAACTGAACATGCAAAAAAGTACCCCTTTGTACAGTATATACAGTGGACCCTTGACTTACAGACGGCTTGACTTACAGACTTTTTGACTTGAGAACCGCCTTCCAATACGGATTAAGTTCTCAAGTCAAGACCCCACTGTATAATGAAACATAAGCAACATGTGACCAGGAAGGGGCCACCTCCCTGAAATTTTGATAGAAGGCACCCTTCTGACCTCAGTCCATGAACTGCCACAGTTATGAACATCTTCACAAGCTATTCCCCTTTAGACACCCTGTTAATGGCCTTGCTGGGAGGCAGGGAGAAAAGATAATCCTAATAGTTTGATTGGTGTTGGGTTTTAAAAAAGAAATTAACACCTCTTACCTGACGTGACAGGGTGTCTCTTTAGACACCCTGTTAATGGCCTTGCTGGGAGGCAGGGAGAAAAGATAATCCTAATAGTTTGATTGGTGTTGGGTTTTAAAAAAGAAATTAACACCTCTTACCTGACTGGGTGTATATATTGTGTGAGTTTTGCGGCGTCTTCTGTAGTCTCAGAAAGGCTGCACAACTAGAAATGTGAGGAAAAAACACGGGTCAAAACAGTGTGATCCAAAATAATACGGATTATGTCAAATATAACTTGTTAGCCTTTAGGGTGTTGTAAGACTTTCCACTGCTAGTTTCCAAAGGTGCACAAACTGGTATCTTAGCTATCACTTGATCTTAGATATCTCATGTTATTACTGTATATCTAGTAGTAAGTGTAACAACCCGTGTTGCTGTTGTTTTAAATCATCCCACATCATCATAATCATTGGCATTCCGTTAACAGCAGAGCGATGAAGACTCTGGTCCTCACTAGCGCCTCGGAAGGAAGTGCTGGTTTTCCTGCCTGCCCCCCCCCGGCCCCCAAATAAATCCCGCATCCCTTTTCGCTCTTCTTGCTCGCCTGCCCCGGCGTCTGGTCCTCACTAGCGCCTCGGAAGGAAGTGCTCGTTTTCCTGCCCCCCCCGCCCCCCAAATAAATCCCTGCTTCCCTCTTCGCTCTTCTTGCTCGCCTGCCCCGGCGAGGGCTCGACAAGCGAAGGCACCCAAGCCCAGCCCCGGGAGTCCCAGCGGCTCCACGTGGGAGAGCTCTCGCCGCTCGCGCTCGCCAGCCCCGGCGCGCGCGCACTCACCGCCCGGTGGTCCCGCCTGCGCTGCCTCTCCGCATCTTTCGGGGTGGGGACCCAAGGTCTCCAGAATCCTTCGGCCCTGCGGAAACCAACGAGAGGACAAATTTCGCGCGAGCTGGCCTGGGCAGCGTCTCTCTCACACACACACACGCACACGCACACGCACCCCCATCCCCTCCCAGTCGCCTGCTTTCCAACCGAGGTTGCCCGTGACAGGGCTCGCCTAGGTGTGAATGCGCTGGCCTGGAGCCGAAGGCGCGTACCCTGGCTGGTCTTGATGGCAGAGGCGGGAGTTGAGCGCTCCGGGAGGAGGAGGACGAGGAGGAGGGGAGTTGCCGAGGCAGAGCTGAGGCGAACTCGCCGTGCTCTGGTGGCCCCTTCTTTCCAAGCTCAGTCCCCGGCCGAAATGTCGCCGAGCTCGGGGCGGCGGCGGTGGCGGGCTAGTGCCTCCCCTCGCCTCCCCTCCCTCCATTCCGACGCCTGCTGGGCTGAGGAGGCGGATGGGCGGCTTCCCCGAGGGGTTTTTATAATGATGGCTGAGCAGCCTTCCCGCCACCTTATCTCGTTTGCCGGAGAGGTAAACAAAACGGCGGCGCGTGAAAACCGCACCAGGGTAAACAAGGAGCGTGGACGCGTGCAAGCTCCAAATGGCCCAGGGCGAGATTTGGCGAGTGGGTGTTAATCACACTTGAGCAGACACATGGCTAGGTTGCCATGAGGAGGGGAAGCCCACGCTTGGGCTCGCCGGGTCCAAAGGGGACACCGTGAGAAAAAGCCAGAAAAATCTGTCTCTGTGTGTGTTTGTGCCTTTTTGCAGGGGAGAATGCCACATCCTCTGACCGAAAAACCCCACAATAGAATCATTTTATTAATAAATACATTGAAATATTTATGCCCTGCTTTTCTGGCAGTGCTGTCCAAAATAGGTTGTTGTCATGTGAGTGTCAAATAAAAGAATACAAATAACAGGACTCTTCTGAAAGAAACCAGAAGAACTAAAAACGTCTAAAACTTGTCCTGAAAGAAACAAATTCCAAAGTATATGTTAGGGTCAGGCAGGGAGGATGGATCATCTAGTGATTGTTGCGTCGCTGGGCGCCATCTCCTTTAAAGCGACACTTGTGTGCACCGATGATCTGGTTCCCTTTGCTCTGGTCCACATCCTCCCCCCCCCCAATGAGTCACTGTCACTGGACCAAAAAGGTCCAGACAGGGTACGGAGCTGATTCGTGGTTTCCTATAGGTCATATAGTAGCCCCAAAAATGTTTTTTAAAAAAAAACACCAAACTGGACTGTGCCACAAGCGGCCCAAAATGAAAGCTGTATCTCTGATTGTAACCTTAATCTCAGCCTGTTGGAACTGCATAGGAATTACAAAGGACCCTTCAGTAGGAGAAAGCAGAAATTGCCTATACCTATAAACAAGTTCTGGTGCATCTCTAAGGGCCTCAAAAGAGATCAAGGTGCCTTAGCACACAACATGTACTCACACTCCAGCTTTCTGTGCCATCTGATTGGTATAAAACAATTGCCACCCTCCACAGACCGACCTCCATCCCAGAAACATCCTCTAGCATGCCTGTGACAGCCAAGTCCAGCTGGCTTACAGCTATTGCCCTGGCCAGGAGCTGCTTTACAGTCCTCTTGCTTCTGCTGGCAACTGAATCTTCCTTCAACAATGATGATGGGAGAGCATTCTGCATTGATCCTAAAAAGGTGTCCTGCACATATGTTCTCTCCTCCAGCAAGTTGCTGCTCCCTCCCAGCTCCTGCTGGTTGAGACGACTGCCTTACTCTTCCTGTACAATCAGGTCTGCTACAGGAAGTGCAGAAAACTGGATTTGTGGCCATCACACCCCACACTTCACAGAGTTGTGTGAACCAGAGAATGGACAGATGAACAGAGGTCCTAGGGCTCAGGCATTTAGGGCTTTAAAGATTAATACAATTATCACCTTGAACTGCATTTCAAAGCACACCTGAAACTAGTGCAGGTTTTGCCGTCAGATTATTCTCAGCAGTTGTTTTGAACGGGACATACACATATGTCTATGTATAACTAACAGGTGTATCTGTACTCCTATAGGAGCTCTTAAACCTGACATCATTTAGGGCTTCTGCCTATCTTAATCTGGCCCACTATTTTAATCATGACCTTGGAGAAAGGGTATACTTAAAAAATCTGAGGAGTGGAGTGCAACCCTGTCCTCAGATTGGATAACAAGGAGGAATAGAGCTGGACATTTGTCAATGGATTAGTAATATTCATAGCATAATTGAATTGCGGAGTTGGAAAGGGCCTGTAAGGCCACTGAGTTCAATCTCTTGCTCAATGCAGGAATCCAAATCAAACTCTCTGACAGATGGCTGTCTAACTTGTTCTTGAATGCCTTCAGTGCTGGAGCGCTCACCACACCTCCCAAAGTAATTGGTTCCATTGTCAAGCTGCTCTAACAGTAAGGAAGTTTTTTCTGATATTGAGCTGAAATCTGTCTTCCTGTGACTTGAACCCATTATTACATGCCCTGTACAATGGGATGATCAAGAACAGGTCACACCCCTCCTCTGTATCACAATAACGGTTGTTGTTGTGACTAATCTTACACTAGAATCTTGAATGATACAGATAATTAGTACCATCTTCAACTGCCTGGAGCAGAAATGAGAGTAATTACTTTTTTAGGATTAAAACCCTCAGAATTCTTCTGGCTGCTGGACATTTTGATTAGGAAACTCCGGGAGGGGTCACTGGCCTAAGCCAATCCCACTGCAGGTGAGTGCCCCATGTTAGATGCCTTGGCACTAATCACATGGAGCTCATCCATGATTGGGTTCTGAACTGCGCACCTGGGAAAGCTCAGGCGTGGCCGTGGCAGGGGAGGCTGGATAAAGACCTGTGCAGAATTCTGGACTTGGTGGAGGAGGAGAAGAACATCTACCCACCACTCATCCACAGCCAGTGTAAAGGAGCATTAAGGATAGCTGCTTGGAAGACTACATTTGTACAGAGCTGAGGCCAAATTTGGACAAAGCTGGGAAGGAGGAGTGTCAGTTAGACACCCCATGGAGGGGGCAGCTGTAGCAGCTTACAGAGTTAAAGAAAGTAACAGTCCCAAGTCATTGCCACCCACCGGATGGCTCTGCCTGAGAATGGGGGAGGGCTACTTCCTTTCTCAAGGAAGATTTTATAGTATCTCACATCTAACTGATCCAGTCTTCTAATTAGATATAACCAACCAAGAACAGCAAGGAGTCCAAACACATTGTCCTCATCCTTCTGCTAAATAACTGAAAATTTATAAGGGAATCGCAACAACCAGAAACTTCAGTAGCATTTAGTGTTATGACTGTACCGAATGAGCCATCCAGATCACCATGAATACATGTGATCTGGCCAGCAAAATGCTTGAAATCATCATACTGTAATTAACATTAAAATTCTCATGATGCAGATGTTTTCACCATCTAAAATAGGTTTCACTGGGTGACATTGTGCGACTGCCATCTTGACAAGAAGTAATTAGAGATGAAGCAAATTAAAGAATTGAGGCCAACTATTTGCATTTGGCACTTAATTATTCCTGGCTCTTAAAACTGGGATTTGGGATTTGGATGATGATGATGATGATGATGATGATGATGATGATGATGATGATGATGATGATGATGATGATGATGATAATAATA